AGACCCCACGTTCTTTTGTCCGGACTCCGTCGTCTGAACCATCTACGGATATTGGCAGGCAAGGGGCGCAAGGCGGACTCGATGGGGGGCTAAGGAAAATTGGCTCTCTGGGTGCGCGGACACGGATATCGCACATCCCTTCTCCCGCTTCTTCTCGAAGCTCTGCGTCACTTGGAAGCATGATGGAAGCAATAGAACAAGATGAGGGCTGATTTCACCGCGCCGCAATCCTTGTCTGGAAGCCTCGCGGAAGCCACTTTGAGGTTCCGCTCCAAACGTTTCAAACACGCACGCCTCCATCCTGTATAGCAGACTGGCACCTATCATGGGGAGGCGCCCACAGTCTGCAAGCCGCGCGCTGCGAGACGGAACCCCGAGGTCTCCGCCGTTGAAGCTGCTTTGTTACTGTTCCCCGGCATGCCACCTTTCAGAGTCGTCGACATGTACCGGTGTCCCTGTTCCAGCCGCCTCGGATGCCCTATCCCGTAACGGTCTAGGTGGTGTGGTTGTCCGGCACTGCTGTCTTGGTTTGCTGCTCATTCTTTAAAGGTTCCCCGGAGCGGGCGGACGGGACAGGCCCTGCCCGAGGTGAGGCTCCCCTGGCACTCGGCCGAGTCATCTGTTCCCCCTCCACGCCCCCATGATGCCGGAGATTGTGACGCATCCTGTCGAAGCGTAACTTTGTGAATATTCATCGTGGTGTTTGCCTTCTTCTTGGCGGTTGACCGTCGCTCTCGTCGGGTTTTCCTGCATGGTCGGATCGCCTAGCAAATGTACCGTATGCGAGTCACGGAATGTCCAACACAATCTGACGGACATGGATCAGGAGCAGAGTGGGCATCCAGACCAGCGACTGGATTCCCATTCGGACCGTTCTGGCTCTGGGCACACCCCTCGTGCATCCAAAGGCAATCCTATCCCGTACTTGGCTCTCCCCCTTGTCCATCCAGCCACGCTCTACAGCGTGCCCGAGATCTTGGGGGCGAAGAGCAGGAGTCCCCCCTGAACGAACGATTCCAGGAACCAGTTGCGCGAAAGGGAACAACCGAGCGTGACAGATGCTAGCTCCTAGCGCTAGGCGCGTGGTTCGTTGGCACGAGTTCGGATCCGAGGCAGACACAGCCCCAGGATGCAGGGCGAGCCATGCGGCCTGAAACCACCAGTGCGCCAGTTGTACGGATAAACGTCTCCCTTGGATATTCAACGAAAATGAAGGCTGATCGAACATCCAACAACTGTCTGGAGCTCTTAGCCAACAATAGCCCCTTTCATGTCAAACTTGAGATTTTGGGTGGATAGACTGTGTTCCTTTGAGGGTTGCAAAAGGATGGACGGCATGTTGGGGACAAGCCTGACGGGATCGAATAGGGTAAGGCAAGACTTGGCGTGGGTGACGGCTTCCTCGGTAGGTTCATGTTTGAGGGCCTGCGATATTATCGAGCCAGGTGGCCACCGCTAGTTTTTTAGCACGTGAATGAGGACACTACTGGCTTGCTCACCCCATTTTTTGACCAGCTCCCCTGCTCACCGTGGACTTATGACACTGCCCATTTCGGTTGGCTGGTCAAAGGTGGTCCTGCTTGCTTTCTATTTGCTAGGAGACTGCCGTTGCCAGCATCTCCAGGACGAGAGTGGAGGATGGCGCGCCGTGAGGGATGCCGAGGAAAACAGCAAGCTAATTCCCACCAACGGCTCCAAGATGGGGGGAAGTTGGGTCTCCCCTTCCAGACCGATATACGACTTCCATAAGCCTGCCAATCCTTGTCGGAAAGGTCATACGGCGTTGAGCTGTTGGTCTTCGTATGGACAGCCGTGGATCAGTCCTTCGCAATGAGCTTTGCTGAGAGCAGGACGCCCTGGCTCATTCGTGAGATCGCAAGGATGGTGAATTGGCTAGAGCGAGAAAAGGACGTAGGTCTTGGTCGCCATGGACCAGACCCCGCGATCTCCACAAGACTACCGAGCAGTCCTTTGAAGACATCGGCTCCTCATCATCCCATTGCTTCTCGCCCACGGAGACAGGCTGCAGGCTGTGAGGGTGATGGTCAGGCGAGCCTATCCCACGCATGTTCCTGCATTTTTGGCTCTTGCATCCGTCCTTCTTATTAGCTGCGGCGCAAGCTATATTTATTAACTTGGCTGTTGGACAGGGCCGCCTGTCAAACGACACCGGTCCGCCACCTGCCTATTCAATTTCTAGAGGTATTAATCGTCCTAGAATGTGGACGCGTACCCTCAAATTCGCTCAAGGATTACCCCGATATCAAAGGTGTAGGTAGTGCTTGCCACGACGTGAATGCTAGGGCAAAGATGAAGCTCTGGACGATGTGCAGACTGCAGACTGCTGCAGCGGGTAGCTTGAGGTATTCCTCACTGGTTGGACCAGTACCGGAGTGTAGACCATTTCACGGTTGTGGCTTTGATCTTTGATAGACCTTTCCGACCCAGATGTGTCTGCTTGCTAGTCCAGGAGCTCGAAACCTACCGCGAAAAGGATGCAGCATAGCGTCTCTAGCTTCATCGTGGGCTGCCGTTTCCCTGAAAGTGTACAGCAGTACATATCATGCTAGGTCTACGCAAGCTGGCGCACCATGTGCAGACAATGAAACCGACGTGGCGGCATGGATGGTATATCCGATATTAGATTTTGTAGTCCTTAGTACTGCGACTTGTCCCCCACGGTCTCGTCTTAGTGGCGGGATGGTATACAACTTCCAGTGCCTCTAGACACGAAGAGACAAATTGGACGGACGTCTGACATCGGATTTCCGCAGGGCGACGAGTGTCACACTGTCCGGGTTGCGGGTTCTTGGACATTCTTGAGCCGGTGAGGCCGTTGGAACAATAGTATAGTCCGACGATGTACCCAACAAGCCCGCCGCATGGGACGGACGATATGCAGAGTAGACACAGAAACACGACGAAGAGTATCCGTCAGATGCTCCATGCGGCACTGGGAGCCTAAAAGGGCATGGTGACAAGGCGACCGGTGAGACGAAGTAGCAGAAAGAGTAGTGTGAGGAGTAGCTTGGCCGAGTGTCAGTTGGATTAGCGCCGTCAGTGCGTAAAGGCGCTGATGAGGCCAGAACCTTCGTCGAAGGCCCGAAGAAGGGTTCGATGGGGTAGCAATAGCATGGCGGTATGGTTGGATAATACTGGATCAGGAAGCGAATTCGAGGTGTCCCGACTTCCAAGTATTCGACGCCGTAATTACATCAAAGGCCGGGGTTCGTCAATGGCAGTGCGTGAGGTAGGACGTGCCTACGCAGCCCGTTTGTAGGTTCGATGCTTGATGATGAGATTTAGAGATTGATCAATGGGAGTCCGCCGGCTAAGTTGGAGCGTTTTGTCTAGTGTGAGTGACACCGTGACAATGGCAAACGCCGCGACGTCGTTACTTTTCGATGCTTCCTATGCCTAAGCGGCACTTGAAGATAGGTGCCAGATGGCGGCTGGGCCTGGAACTAAAGGAACTGGCTCAAGAAGCATTCCAGGATGGCCATTCCACGACGAACCTGTCTTGGGATTCCAGAACTGAACCCCAGCGAGCACAGTAGGGTGGTCCAGCTCCAATTCCCATGCGAGCAGCACCAAGTCAATCCTGGCCAAGGGGAGGCCCCTGGCAGCCTGGAGGCTGGAGGCTGGAGCTGCTGGGACTCAAGAGACGAGGGGAAAGGTTAATGTGGATTCGCTTACGGGGCCCGTCGGCAGGGTGTCGAAGCCAGTTGAGTGTTGGGATAGGCATTGGTGTCTTTGCGTCTTCAAACATGGGCGAGGCCGGCGTGGATAGGTAGGTATTCGTACTTGATGCCAAATCGTGGCTTGTGAATGGAAGTCGAATGGAGGGCGGTGGGAGGTAGGCGGATACTTCCAGAAGAGGGGCCTTTGCTTTGATCAGTTGGTTCGTGGGTGAGGGGAGCGGCACTGAGGGGTGGGAGAGTTGAGGTGTGGTTGAGGTGCGTTATCACATCTGAGATGCAGTGCAGAGTACGTACCTTGCCGTACCGTGCCGTCCCCCTCCTCATTGCAGCTTCCTCGACTTCAAGTCACTGCATCAAGTCACTGAAGGCACAAGCAGTGAGTACATCTGAATACCTTGGGTACATCGAAATAGACAATATCCGAACAGTACCTTACCCAAGTCAAGGTCCAAGAAATGGGAGTGTTGACCACGGCTGCAGCAGTGCACTGAGTATACTAACATCATGTAGACACTGGCAGGCCGCAGGCACCGTAGATGTATCCGTATATTCCATTGTAATCTTTGAGAGATGCTTGCAGAAATAAATGGAGAAAGGGAATGAAAAGTACAGGAACAATAAAATAGATGGCAACGGCAAAACCCAGGCCGGCCAGGAGATTGGCAGATTGAGATTCCTAGCCTGGCGCTAGAGGCAAGCAAGATATCTTGGGAGTGGAATCGCTCACAAGGCAGGCACATACGGAGTACTGTAAGTAAGGCAAGGTAGGTGTACCTTAGGGTAAGGCAGGGTGGTACCTTCCCACACATCCCTAAAAAAGGAAATACGGCACATATGGCAGGAGTGAGGTACTTCGTGCAGAGTGGATGGTATCAACAGATGGAACTTGGAAGTGCAAGGTAAGTTAGGTAAGGTAGGTACGAATTGAAAGATGATTACCCAAGCATCAGGAGCACTTCGAAGACCTAGCGCCTAGTACGGCCTAGCTCCACGTCTTAGTCCCTGCAAAGCTCTGGTGTGGACTGTGGACAAGCACGCACTAACGTACCCAGCCGGTGGAGGTGGTGGACTAGGGTAAGTACGAGCCGGCCTGTAATGATAAGGTAAGCGGGGAGTGGAGATCTCATGGATCGCACCTGGCTGCAACCAAAACTTCCATTCGCGACTGCAACTGCGGTACCTTACCGCGGTACAATGCGGCAGATACCGTGTCTCCGTTCCAATGGATGATGCATCTTCCATCTCCCATCTCCAAGCTCCCATTCCGAAGGCTCCCCTCCCCATGCACCTGTCGTTGGCGTTGCTGTGCATCCCACGCCGCACCCATGCAAAACCAAAGGGCCTTTCAATAGATCATGGGCCATGGGCACGGCATAGCGCTGCAAATCCGTAGGAGCTTCTAAGATACACACCCATGCCTGGCCTTCTGCACCTCGCCTTTCTCTCGGGCTATCTCGTCCTAACAACCTCCCGCCGCCGCCAGAATTCGACGTCAGCACCTTGGTTCGGTCCGCTTCTCGGCCTCCTCAACACCTCTCGAATCGGCTCGACGTTACAGCCAGACGTGCCAGGCTGCCAGGGCCTCTTCAACCCCGGAGATGGCTTGCTGTCGATCAGAGTTACAGACTAAGGCAGGAGAGATTCGAGCCGGTGCAAGCGCCTCTCCACGCCATCCAAGCTCAACACAACAGCGCTCGGCTTTGCTCAAGCCTCCAGACTAGAAGCCTTCAAGGGAATCTTCAGCCATTCTACCGGCCACCTGTCACTGCCATTTTGGCAAAGGTGCGACGACCGTCTTTTGCTTCGCCGACGCCGGCTCTCGACGGTGCTGCTGTCTCATCCCGTTAGCACCACGGCAGACGGGACAACGTCTGCCAAAAAGATGGCCATGAGTGCTTGGTCCTCGGTTCGCAAGCTTACTTCTTCACCCTAGTGTTCGATGATTAGGTATGCCAGTTGCTCTCCGGCACCCAGTGTCGTTGAGGACGATTCATATCTAGAGAAGACAGACCGAAAACTGCATGCATGGTGGTCGGCACCTGGCAAATGCCACGAACACCACAAAACGATTCTAGGTGTTGTTACCCTTCTACGGATTCCCACGCAGCTCACAACTTCAGACACTCTGTGGTGTGCGTCTGCCTTTCGCCTAGACCAGGGCGGTCTGGGGCCGACAGAGCGGGCTCCCGAGCAGAGCTTCTGCTTTAAGACCCTCGCAGCCCTCCACCTTCCACGTCCCCCGTTGTGGCCGGGCGGGTTCGGTGGATAGTTGAGCTCGACTCCTTCGAGAACAAGACTGGATGATGCACTTGACCCATCAGGGCAGGATAAGACGGGGTCAAGCCTCAGATACCGTCTCCGTACCCGTCCTCAATCTTAGGTGTCTCCTAGCAGCCCCCAGGACGGTCAGGAGCATGAGGGTCCCCTTGGGGCATTGGGCGTGACCGGGACCACCAACCCCACGAGAGATGTCAGGTTGACTGGTGCTGTGGATGAAGAAATTGGTGGACTTGCCCTACTGGGCAGGGCAACAAGGCGGGTAAGGTACGGCTACAGCCTACGGACGGGTACGGGTACAGATACCTTGCCTGCCAATGCTAATCCGCCTGCCTGGTTTGCTCTCGCGACGCTAGAGACTCCTTACAAGGTGGTTATTACGGAGTACCACCTGGCTCGACTCCTCAAGATGCGGATCATCTGGTCATTGTCGTCGTGTGTGCTTACTGCGGCAGCAGGATGGATACCCTACGCGATCCATTGGCTTAGCTGAGCTCCCAGCCTGTCAGCGGAGGCATCGAGGCATCCGGCACATGGATGATGGCACTAAGAAGGGCGCGAAGTACCATGGCCCTCAAGTGGCAGACTGGGAGTGCGAGGAATCTCCGCCAGGGCTGGAGCTTTCAGGAAGCGCGATGCAGAAGTCGTACCTCAGGCAACTTGCCTCATTTGGTTGCACCTCGGTATCTTGGAAGTTGGAACTCGACATCAATATCGAATGAGCATGGCCACTTATTATGATGACATGGGGCATGAACGATTCTGCGACCTTTTTCGCTGGTCTGTGTGCTTAATTCCATACCACACTCGCGCTATTCCCTACCGCCATTTCGAACATTTCCCCCTCGTCCACCCGTCCACCCGTCCCCCCCCGTCCGTTCCCCGTTGCCTTTCCGCTAACAAACCCCCTCTTTGCTGCTGGCGCGCTTTTTATTTTATTTTACATTGTGACTGGGCCAGCCTGCTGGGAAGTCTCCGAGTTTCTTGCGACGACGTTGGACGCAAAGTACGGTCAGGCTAGCCTATCAGCTGCAGAGACAGAGGCAAAGGCACAGAGGCACGAGAGGGTACTTTGGCAGCTCGGGGACGACGACGCATTCTTCTGGCTCAGTTCGTGCGAATGCTCCTTCACAGTATACACGCAGTGTGGAGCAATACTGTATTCGTGACACTGCCCTGCGTGACAATGACGACGAGGCGAAGGCCCATCACTTTGCGTCCTTGGGCAGCTGAGCTCAGGTCATTATCTTATACAGTGCATTCAACAATGGCTACGCACGAATACATGGTCGTCGACGGTCTCCCGTTCCTGCGCTGGGTACGGATACAAGCCCTCCAAGGAGTCGACTCGGGTTGGACAATGGGCGCGGACACAGACAGGGCATATCGGAATCCCCCCCCCTCGACTGTTGGGAGCAGGAACTTGGCCTCAAGCCTTGGAGTGTGAGGGGGGCAATGAGGGAGGACTCGAGAGTCGAGGAGGGCTTCCGGGCAGCGCATTGGTCGCATACACACCCGTCCACGGAATCCAATGCCTTTTGCCTTACGGGTACCTCTCACCTTTACTTCCGACAAGAGGCCATGTACCTTACATGCCTCGTGCTGGTCCCTTGCACAGATGCACTCAATCACTCACAGCAGCTCGCCGCATTCTGACTCGATTTTTGCCTGTCAATGGATGGTCCTGGCGATTGAGAGTTGAGACTGAAGTCGCCGACGACACATCGGCTACCGCCGCCGCTCCGATGTATGTTCCATCTCATCGACGATGAAGTACGGGTAGACCGAACTGCCTCGACTCTATCTTGCTGCTCGAGGACGGATATTCGCACAGAGCACGCTGATGTTGCGGACTTTGGGCGGACGTGGACCCTTGTCGTCCCTTGGAGGCCCGACCCTCTTCGTCCTTCTGAAGCATTTGGTGCCTTGATACACTACGGCATCCTCGCTCTTGTGTCCGATGTCCCTCCAACGTCTGGTCTTGGCCCTGCTTTACACCAGTCGAATGTCTCCAGCTCGAACACACCCGCACTGCCCTACGACTTCAAGGAGAGAGGAGACGTGCTTGACACCCACAACACCGCACACTAGGTACTGAGTGGTGAGTGCGAGAGAGGGCTGTTTTGGAAATGGTGGTTCATTTTTATCAGCACTTCCTTGTCTGTGTCATGCCTCGAACCTCGCCCCCCCCCCGCCTTCCCCGTCCGACCCAAGAAAAGAAACAGGAGATATTCTATCCGTCTCTTGTTCTTCTGCCCGTTATGTGGTGTCTGTGTGTTAGCCCAGTCTCCTCACTTTTTGCCTCGGTCACCCCTTTTGGCCACAGTCGTCGTCGACGTCGTCTAGGTATCCGTACTGACCAAGACCAAAGAAAGACTGACGACTAATAATATGTAGAAAGTACGGATACGGACGGAGTACCTCGGATTTAGAAAGAAGAAGGAGGGGGAAACGACTACGCAGTGCGCACTAGGCCGGTGTTAATCCATGCCGGGTGGGAAGTATACCACCACAATTCTTTGGCTTGCATAGAGAACCAATTATTCTCTTTGTCGACGCCATTTCCCGGGGCCTGGCACTCCTGGGTCCAATTTCACACGGCCAGCATCAAAGAAGCCATCAAACATCAACCCGGCAAATGAGAATAGAAGGCAACAGCCGTCAGTCAAGTATTTCGTACCTGCGTACGTATTCGTACCTACTGGCTATGAATCCCGAGTCCCGTCGAGAGTTGAAGGTTCGCATCCCCTGGCCAATCCTTCATCTCACTGCCAGATTCGGCTTGCGACAGGGCATTTTTACCTCTGGACTTGCAACGCTGCCCTGCACGCTGGGCCCCCGCCAGCTCTGCATCTTGGCCTGGCCTGTCTGGTTCCAAAGTACATACAGAAAGCAGACGGGAGCACTATTGACTATGGGTATTCGTATGGATACTCTGTGAGGTACGGATACCGCATCCAGCATCCTCTTGAATCCGCAATGCACCGGGGCCTCAATGGACATGCTGCACTGTGAGGTGAGCTTGCCGGAGGGGTAAAGAGGAGCCAGTCTTCCTTTACCTTATGTACTATGTAGTTGGAACCTCTGGGAAAGAGAGAGCAAGAAAGATGAGATCCGTCAGGGGAGGCAAGAAGGCAAAGGTGGAGGATAGAGGAACGGGCAAGGTACTTGTTCCTACCACCATCAATGCTCGACCATGTACCTTTGATGTCTCTTCGGCCGCCTCCATGGCGCTGGTGCTATTGCTGGCGCTGCTAGGAACGTGCCTTATTATTGAGAATGAGATGGTGGTGCTGGTGCTGCCCTGCCCTGCCCGGCTTTCACTAAGGTACTGCCTAGGTCGAAGGTGTACCGAGTGGAGGAGGAGGAAGTGACCCCCCAGGCCTCTCATGCTGAGCTCTCTGCTTCTCGTCTGCTGTTGCCGCTCACGCCGTCGCCGCAATGCGCAACTTCGACCTCCCACCCTTGGTCCACGCCCTCCTCCACATCCGCATAGGAACACATTACACACCCACACACCTCTCACTCACTCACTCTCTCTTCCCATTATCCACTTCTCCAACACCCTTCGAGGACGCTACCTCACAACCACACTGCAACTACGGATACCTTACCTTCACGCAACCCTGTCCACCTCCTGCGACCCTGGACACACACACACACACACACACACACACACACACACACACACACACACACACGCATACGCACACGCACACACTCTCTCCTTCTCTCGCTCTCCTTCGCTGCCGCTCTTCTTTTCCTCATCCTCACCTCCTCACAGCACTGTCCACCACCGTCTAGCCTACCCTGCCATCCTGGGCAGTCCTGGGTCCTGGCTCCCGGCTCCCCCCCCCCATCGACTCCTGGTCGCATCCATCATCGAACATCGGTTTCCTCTGGGCCCCAGCAGCTCAGTGATATGACCCTGCCTGTGTGTACCCAGCCCAGATCTTGTTCCTTACCCCGGTCGCCTCCCCGTCTAGGTCTACCCACGTCAACCCTTCACGCCTCACGCCGGGACCTGTCGTCCATTCATAATAAGGCTTGACCTTCTCCCGCGTACCCCCCTCACCATCACCCACCAATCCGGACAATTCCTAGCCCAGCGCGCTCCCAGAGAGAAATTCGAGACACAACTCCCCTCTGGTACTTTCTTTTCCTACAACTTCCTCTTTTCCAACAAGTCTTTTGCACAAGACACGTCTGTCTAGTCGCCGACATTCCCAGCACTGAAGGACTCACTCAACGTAAGAGTGAGAGCGAGCGAACGAGAGAAAGAGAGAGAGAGAGAGAGAGAGAAAGAGCCGCCGAGTGCGCGGCCAGGTTAGGACGGTCGTCGCCAGCTACGCATACCCAGAACTCAAGCAACCGGCTTGAATGTAACCGCTTCTTTGACTCCGCTCTCCGTTCGAGACTACTTCTACGACCTCACCGCTACCAACAAATCGACGACTCGTCACGTCCGAATTCACAATGTCAAACGATCCTTCCGTGAGGCGCATCTTGCCTCAGAGCTCCCAGATGGGCAGCTTCTCTTTCGCGCCGCAGCAGTTCCCTCAAAGGGAAACCCAAAAGAGTGCGCCATCCACCTCTACCGCCCTCCGCTTCGGCCTGTCCACAACGTCTCGTCTAACCAAATGTGATTTTCTGTAGATTATGTCTTCGTGGATGAACACAACCGTCATAAACGATTGAAGGGTATGCTCACTTTCCCTTGAACAAACGACTCAACCCATGTGTGCAGTCTAGCTAAACTGATGAAATCAAGTGATGAGAGCTTGTGAAGGATGCAGAAGAAGAAAGATCAAGTGCGACGCGGCCACGACGAACACCTGGCCCTGCTCGGCGTGTATCAGACTCAAGCTCCATTGCGTTCGCCCCAATGGCCAGTACGATGGCACCTCTAGCGACGCCTATGAGCCCGTTGGGGATGAGTTCGCTGCTGCCTCATCGCAACTGCAGAACAGCTTCCGCCAGCAAGTTCCCATGCAGCAACAGTCTATGATGGCCGGCGGTCAGAAGCCCAACCCTTCGATGTATGCTGCACAGGGCGCATATTCGGATCCCAACGTCTTCCCACCTGTTCACTACTCCGACCAGCAAGTCCATCAACATAACATGCACTACACCACGGTTTCTCCGTCGTCGTCGATGATGGAACAGTCTTACACCGGTCAGAATGTGTTCCCAACGCCGCCTCTTCAGCAGAGTCAACGTCCAGATTCTCCTCCCGACACCTACTCCAATGACGGCTCGTACCAGCAATCAGACCTCGCTGATCTTCTGGGTTCTCTGAAGGTCAACGAAGCTGGAACGGGTAGGCCCTCTCTCGCAGCTTTTCGTACGTAGCAGAGTTACTGACGCGCAATGCAGCACCGTATCTGAGGAACAAGGCCTCTTTCCTGCATGATGAGGAGCCTGCCGTTGAAGACGAGGAGTACAAGACTCCTCTTCCGCCAATCATCACCGGACCGGGCCTCAAGATCCGCATTCCGCCTGAACTGATGCCGGATGACGAGACGGTCATGCACTACTTCGATCTGTTCTTCAGCCATGTGCATCCCTATGTGCCTGTTCTCAGCAAAAGCGTCTTCTACCACCAGTGGAACACGAATAGAGAATCCGTATCGCCTCTCATTCTCGAAGCTCTTTTCGCTATGGGTGGAAGACTAGCCGACGATCCTGCTCAAGGGCAGCAATGGCTCGCTTTGGCAACAAGTATGGAAGCATCCGTCAGCTGGGTAGACAATAGCTAACAATCATGATAGAGCACGCCGACTCTTTTATGGACGTACCAAGACTGAGCACTCTACAGGCCCTTCTGCTCATCTTGAAAGCTCGGGAGGCAGCACCTAAGCGTGGTTACTACTACCGCTCGTGGATGACGATTGTGCAGTGCGTTCAAATGGGCAAGGATCTCGGTCTGGACGAGCACTACGCGGATCATCAAGCAGGAAGGCCATGTGGCTCTTCTCCCCTGGATTGCCAGATGAAGAGCCGAATTTGGCAGTCTATCTTCGTGTGTGAAACCATGATTGGTTCTCCTCAAGGTTAGTACTTGGTCTTACTCGACTTTTGGTAGCAACATGCTGATTCATGTAGGCCGGACTGATCTCGCCGTGGAGCTGGATTCCATCGATTTCAGCGTCCCGCGTCCAGTTCCTGGGGGCGACGACTCTGAGTACCACATCACCCGCAACTTCACCTATTTCGCACGGATTGTCCGCAACGTCAGCCGCATGAACACGGCCTATGGCCATCTCAAGAAGAAGAAGACGAAGGATTGGGGTGTCGACCCCGAGTTTGTACAGCTCAACCCGGCCTTGAATGCCTGGTTGAACGACCTTCCAGCGGATTTGTCGGTTACTTTCCCACCCGATGGCTCGCCACCATGGCTTTCGTCACCTTACATCGGCAACTTGCACTCCTACTACTATCTCACCCTGATTCTGCTTCACCGACCGCAGCTGAATTTCCTGGACCCCAACGCGCAGGATGGACAGTGGAAGCAGCACATGATGATCTGCTATTCTTCTGCCAAGGCTCTATGTCGGCTCCAAGAGGCAGTCTTGAACTCGTTCGGATTTCCTGGACTGCAGTGCATGCTTCGTGGGTTCAGCTTCACTGTCTATTGCGGACTGTGTTGCATCGTGCTCCATCTGGTGGGTTATCATCTGCGTTTCCCCGTTACTGGCTCTCTAACTTTTATGGTGCACAGGTGGCTGTTGTATCTCCAGATCCTGATCTGAACACTGATGCGAGAGAGTTTTTCACGCGGCACATGCGGGTTCTCGAAAGGGTCATGTCGGTTTGGCCGATGGCCGACCTGCAGAAGCAAGTCGACGCGGTGCGCGAAGCGTTTTCTGCTAACGTCAGGAAACCCTTTGTCCTTAAACCCAGCTTCCCTTACGGCAGTCCCCAATCATCCAACCATTCCAGTCCTCCTAGGGGTTACAGGCCGGGCATGGCACGCACTGCTTCCTTGGACCACCATTTGGACACGCAGAACCTTCAACACTCCCAAGTCAGTTATACCAGCCACCCCATTACACCTCCTATTTCTGCCGGACCTGTGGATACCAAGAGTGACTCGCCTGCTATACAGTCACTCGTCATGATGGCAAGCCAAGGTTCCCAAGCGCCGGGGATGCAGCAAACAATGTCGTTGTCGGATGCGCGGGCTTGGAATCCTGCACGTATTTTTGAGTAAGTCATTGTCGACAATCATCCGCCTTCAAAAGGAGCCATCCGCTAATCCAGGTCTACAGACAATGGAACACGTCTTTCGGTACGCCTCAGGTCCAACCACAGCCTTCGACGCTGCCTCCCCAGTCCAATTCGCTTAGTGTTTCTCCGTCTTCAGGTGCACCCGAAGCCCCGTCTCTCCAAGACATTCAGGCTGTCAATGCTACTCTCCCAGTGGCCTCTCAACAGATGCCGCAACAGTACTCTGCAGCTCCCGTGCAGACTTTTGTCTCGCCGGCGATGTGGCAGGAGTCCGTGGCGAGTGTCTACGAAGGCGGTCTCAAACGGGCCTGGGATTACGATGGCAGTGGTGGTCCTATGATGAAACGGCGATGAGCCGTTTCCAAATTGATTTTTGCAAAGCTACCTAACCTTCTTGTCGGCAACATCTGCGGGATGTTTTACACCTTTGGTATAGCGACGACAGTTTACCGGTTCATAACATTCGCCAGCTTACGGGGTGCCTCCACGAACCGCCTCTGGACCGACGAATAGGTGCCCCTTTAGCTACAGCGATGCACGTACATATCTTGGATTTTCGCTTTATACGGTCCTTGTTCGCCTCATACACGGTTTATTCTCGCGACGAAATACATGTACACGATTACGATGAAAATGAGAAGGAGGGAACACAACGGAAGATCCATGTCGGGCGCCGGCGTCACTCATGCCCCTTCGGAGGCATGGCCCCCAACCGGGAATGGGGCTCCCAAGAGGCTTTTGTTTTTTTCGGGACGGTGCGAGGAAAGAGAGGGAGAGAAGATTGGCGAAGTGGTGTCCTGGTCTGTATTTCTGGACTGTATTACTATATTTGGCATGTTGCCTTACGAAGGAGCCACTGACGCGGCCCATTTCGGCTCGGCGTACGGAGACGGCGCGCACCTTGGCATCGCGAACGAGGAGTCCTGTTTGCTCACTATCACATTGGTGGAAAGGCCCAAAAAGTAACTGTAAGAGAGGAGAGAGAGAGAGAAGTTTCGTTGTTTCCATTGACTTGGACCGATCAATACGGACATGATACCATCCTGCGCGCGCATACAAGTTCAGTCAACCTAGCACAGTGAAGTGAAGACCACGCCGGCAACACCAGAGGCAACCCGCGGAAACGGGCATTCGCTGCATTGTTTGCTTGGCAAGCAAGGAGTAAGACGTTTGGAGTGGGTGGGAAGGGAGTTGACAATGGGTAGATCTAGGTGAGTGTGTGTGTGTGTGTGTGTGTGTGTGGTGCCCGAGGCGAGCTCCTACCGGGAAGTCCCCAAAGCGGTCGCAAAGTCTCGCCATTGGGTGAGATGATTGGCCACGGCATCTGATGTTGGCATGTTCACAGGGTTCATTCAGCCGCAAGTTGAGAAGACCCCCCCAAAGAGACATTGCATAAGCAGATGGTCTCAACTTCGAGCGAGCGCGGACGGGCTTTGCATGCACAGGCACAGGCAAAAAAAGACGTTTGTCCCCCCCCTTCCACGGTAATAGGTAGGTACACATACTCTTACACCACACACCCCACACCCCTAGGTTATCAGAGGGCGAAGAACAAAGGGAACTTCCATTGGAAACAACGTTGAGCCTTGACGGGGCAAACGGGCTAACCGACAGGTTCAAACCTCAAGGTGAGGTTAAGGTAGGTATGTCTCGGCGGTCGGCAGAAGCGTTCGTTTTTGGGGCGGCTGGTATACCTACTTACGTCTGACCTCGCTTATACAGTTACTTACGACTGCCATGTTTTATCCCACTCAGCCGCCTTACGACACCGAAAAAAAGATTTACCATGTCGACAAGATGTCGGCTATTCCGCTCCGTAGGAGCCACGCCGCACCCGCGGGACGGGAGATCATGAACAGCGAAACGGCGCGGAAGCCGGGAGTCGGATGTCGGGGTATTCGGAAAAGCAGAGTAGTTTCGAGTCTCTTGATCGGCGAAAAGAAAGTGTGGGGAGGGGAGAGGAGGAGCAATGACATTCGATGGGCGGGATCCCTTGAGCCAGGGCCCAAGAGAGGTGCATTTGTTGGAACTCGATAATTTGGTGAGATTTTACCTTTCAGTCACAAGCTTACATCACTGACTTACGAAACCGCATAATTTAGTTTCTTCTCTCGTCTTCTGTCGTCGTCTTCTGTCGTCTTCTTCTGCTTCTGCTTCGCTTCCGCTTCATAATGATGACGATTGCCGCTGTGGTTTGCCGTGAACCCCCGTTGGTAGCATTGGGCGGACGATTGCCGTAGGGATGGGTTGGTAGGCGGCGGGTACGGAGTACGGGGGTTTTACCTTTCACACGCAGGAGAAAAAAAGGGTAAAATTAACAAAGCAAAAAGTGATGGGCAGAGTCGAGAACAGTCCATATTCGTCACTCGTTGACGATCGGGGAACAGGGAATGAGACGGTGAAGTTCACAAAAACAAAAAAACAAAAAGTTGGATAGTCTTTTGGAGAGACACTCGCGTGGGTACGTACGTGTACAATACTCTGTACTCTGGTCGGCGAGAAGCTGGGCAACTGGGTTTCGCTGGGACCGCGCTGGCATGGGTATCGATGCCTCGTGTTTCGCAGCTGGGACCAGGTCGGTTCGGGTCGGGTTCAGCGGCGGGAAGAGGAGAGATGTTGGAGATGTTGGAGATGTTGGAGATTGTGCCCTCTGCCATACAGGAAGTGCGCAGTAATACGGAGTGTGGGAGTTCCATTACTCTGTACCTGGGACTGAGTGAAGTGACGTTGTTTCGTGGGAGGTCGCCTTTAGAGTTTGGCATTTGGCACGTTTCCTAATCTTTTTGCGACGATGGTCGACTACGAATACCTACGTACCTTTTACATACCCGTCGTCTTCCTCCTCACCCCTCTCTCTCTTTGGCCACGCCAACGATCAGACCGGGTCCCTGTATCGCCGAGAGAAGTGTGAGTTGCGTGGGCGAGCGAGTTGACGCAAGAATATGCGTGGCGTGCAGGATGAGGGGTTGAATCCCAAAGGAAAGGGAGGGGGGTAGGTAATGGGACTTGGATGAAGAGAGGGGGAAGGGGAAAAAAAAAAAAAAGGACATTCCAGGATTGTGGTGGTTTTCATTCCCACATGCATGCCATCTGTGGTGATCTTGGACATGCAGGTCCAATAGACTCGAATCTTGCTTCCATCTTCATCGCATCTTTTTTCTTGGTGGTCTTTGGGGGGATCTCACACTAAACTAACGGGGGGTTTTCCCCCGCTTTTCTTTTTTCCGGTCCCAAGCAATGTAATATGTTACTGCTTTTGCATACTTTCGTGTCTTGTTGGGGAACTTGGGACTGAAAAGAAGGGCGTCCAGATGGAGGGGGAGGTTTCTCGGCGTGGCCGACGGTGAAGTTTGGGAAAGGTATGCATACCTGCATCTCGACGTGCGTCTTCTTGTTTCGGACTTTAAAAAAGGATGTTGCCCCTCCCTTCCTCGTAGAACTTGCGAAAGATGACACAAGCATAATGGTAGGATAGGTACTGCTTCGCAATTAACCTACTAGGCATGTAGATACGATTTCATCTCTACTATTGAGTCCCGATTTGCTCTACGGGTAGATTCGTGACTACCCGGACGTCAACACCCCCCCACCCCCCCCCCCCCCGGGTCTCCGAGTACCTACATCGGCACGATAGGTAATCATTATGTGCTTTCCTCAATTCTGAACCTTTCAATTGTCTTTGTAAGGAATGATAGGATCGGATGCAGCTGCCGGATGCCGGGTTTAGAAAGGGTGAAGGAAGGTCGTTGTATCTCTGAGGTATACTACACAGTATCGATAGCCATAGGCATCGTCAACTGGAAATGTCCTGGCTATCCTCCCACTGGCATCAACATAGAGGAGGGGGTGTGAGAAGGAGACCGTGTAAAGAGGGGATGACTTCGGAGTTTAGTGAAATATTTCTGGGTTTTACTCGGCGCCCGGATGTGAATGGGTGTGATGAGATACAGGAACGGAGGCCGTTTAACGGCGACGGGTGACGGCGACGGCGACGGACGGACGGTGGCCGAGGAGGGGAAGCCAACGTACTGCACAGATGGTGTGGTGGTGGTGACGGCTGGAAATGGGGCTTTGGGGCTGAATTGTGGCCCCGGCAGACGCAGAGTCAGCTCGCTTTCGTTATTAGCCTTGGGTTCTGTTGGTTCTAGGCCCTTTTTTCCATAACCGTGACCTCTCTTCTGGATATTTTCAACAACCAACTTTCCACACTCTACATGAGAGGAGCCCTAGTTCGGGCCCCAGTTGAAGGAGTCAAGAATGTATCCGTACACAGCAGGGCACTTGGACATACCGAGGTTGTCAGCGGCGAAAAAATGGGGCTTCAGAAGTGATGGCGATGGCGATTGCCTCCCGGAACATGGTTCAACCTAGGTAGAGCACCTCTTTTTTTCTTGCCTCTTATATGGGTAACTACAAGCACCTCCACGACGTTATGGATATGCTAGTATGGCTCGATCCCACCGTTACCGTTGGATCCAGCGGGTGTCCAAAATAGCTCCTCTTGAGTCTTGATTCTCTTGACTCGAATCCGCAGATATTGGGCCGTGGCGAAATCTGAATGACTAGTGGCAGTGCATCCGCGTCAGGGAAGGGGAGGGGGGAGGTGTCATCTGTCACCTTTTTTTGATAGTATACAATTCGACTTCTATATCGAACGGAATGCTTGCCGCGCGCACGCGATTGAAGGCCGGAATTCCCGCGGGCTCCCGACCACACGCCCTCTCACTCATGAAGAGCTCCCCCTCATACCCCCTCTAGACAACGCAACGAACGATGTACTGGACACACGTACGGATACACTTTCGCCTTCTCTTGAACATGCTTGAATCGTACAGTGCTACCGTCTCCTCCCTGACCGGCATCCCTCTCACCCTGACTTGAGAGTCTCGGATACATGGTGGAACACGCTTGGCAAAATGTGCCCTTTCGCCCTTCACTTGCGCTTACCCAGCGACTCGCGCACAATATTCCACACCCATCCATCCTTGACGCCGTGACTAGCACCCTTGCCGCCGCGACCACTGCTACCGCCGCTCTTCTTTCCGCTGGCCTCAACGCCCGTATTGATACCAAACTGGCCAACAGGGCGATAGTGATACCACCTCCGCTTCGCCATCAGCGCCGAGACGTCCTTGGTATGCGTGACGATGCCGAGGCGCGTAGCCAAGGGGCCGCTGTCCGCGGCCACGGGGCGGAGCTCGGCGGCCGTGACGGCCGTGAGCCGGGGACGGGTGACGAGGCCCATTGTACCGATCTCGAGCTGGGCCGTGGGCGGGAGGGTCCGGACGTAGCGTTCTAGGAGGGCGCGGGATTGGCGCGCGTAAGGGGGGAGGCGGAGGTAGATGAAGGTTACGAAGGGGGCTGAGGTGTAGGATATGAAGAGGAAGGGGATTATGCCGCAGGCGGCCACTGGGAGGGTGGGGGTGTTAGTGAGTGCGCGACGAGTTTCATGATTTGTCTAGATGTATGAGGATTCAGAGAGAGACTGGTGCTGTGCTGTGATTGTGCGTAACGGAGGGAGGAGGAGATGAGGAGGAGGAGGGCAGGGAATCGTGAGATGAGATTAGAGTGAAGGTGTGTATATAGGGGTAAAAACTTACATCCCGCTGCCTCGGTGAGCGTCTTGTCTTCTGCGCGGACGTAGCTAGGGGCAGCTACGAAGCAGAAGAAGACGCATGAGAAGACGGTGGTGATCTTCCAAAAGGCCAGGAAGGCCGTCCGGCCGGTGCCGGCGTGGTAGATGAGAAGTCGCTCAGGCAGTTCTGGAAGGTAATCGTTAGCCCTCTGTCGCAGCACAGCAGATGAGAGGATGAATCCCCCCGGCCCATAAGGTACTACGGACAGACTTGAGACGAGGGGGGGGGGGGGGGGGGGGGGGGGGGGGGTCTACTACTCACGCGGGTTTCCGGCCTGACCGGCAGAGCCTCCGGCGCCGGCCGAGGTCGGGTTCGGTGGTGTGTTGACGGTGGCCCGGGGACCGGTGGTCGGCGGCGGCGGTGGTGGTGGTACGGAGGCAAAGGGCCGTCTCAGGCTACATTGCTGGTTCTGAAGAGATTTCCGGAGGGTTGGGCGGAGAGCGCATTGGCGGAGCGTGGGGAGGATTCGTATCGTTTGCGGGGGCTGCCGTATGAAGGCGAGCCGCAGGAGGGACATTGTGAGGTTGCCCGAGCAATTGGGATTGGGGGGGGGGGGGTTGAGTGAGAGGGCGCTTTGTTGGGTGGATTAGGGAGAGTGAGAGGTTGATGGGATGAGATGAGATGCGGCGGCGGATGAGGTCACTGCACGCATCTAACCGATATCAATTAATTTTTCCCCACGCGACGCGGCTTGACTTAGTCGGTATCCAGCGCCCGGATGGTGTACTACATTCCATCATCGCCGAAACTCATAGAGAGGTCAACAATTGATGGTCACGAGCTGGCATTGGCCTTTGGTATAGTTCTTTTTATTTGATTTACTCTCAGATACGAGTGGCTATGCTAGGTTGAATGGTTGACGTGACAGAAGACCGCTAATGTGAGAATCCGACAGGGCCCTGCCAGCTTCCTTGCCTCAGCTAATAGAGCACCAACATCTCATCGACTCAAAGTCTGTGATCCCGCGCCGATCCCCGCCGTCCCTCAAGTCAGACAATGTTCTTCTGAAGCCACTCCTTCCACTGATCAAGCGTCCAGCCGGAGCTGATCTCGTTGTTCGGGTACCCGTCAAACAGCACCGTCGGGCTAACGTGCACGCCCGTCAACCGCGCGAGCTTGATGAGCACCTTGAAGTCGTTGGTCACGCCGTTGCCGACGTTGAGCGCGCCCTCGGCATCGGGCTTGTCCGAGACGACGAGCAGGTCCAGCACCGCCTTCTCGTCGACGCCCACGGACCCCGCAAGCTTGGCGAGGCGCTTGTACGTCTCGTTGCGCGGCTCGTTGACGACGTTGGCGTCAAAGTAGTCCTTTTGCGCCTTGAAGAGGGCGTCGCTGTACGCCCAGAACTTGGCGGGCGCGACTTTGACGACGGCCACGGCGGACTCGTGGACGAGGGTGCTCGAAGGGTGCCAGGGCTGGACCTGCTGGCGGAAGATGACCTCGAGGTGGGCGGCCCAGGTCGGGTTGGCGCGGATGGCGGGCACGACGGCGTTGTAAAAGGTGTTGAACTGCTTGGCTGAGTAGGGGCAGACGTAGTCGAGGTAGAGCTCGATGGTGTGCGGCTGCGGGGGGACACCATCGGTGGAGGGCTTGGGTTCCGCTCCAAAGGTGAGCTTGTGTGCTGCGAATTTGGGTGGTACGGCCATTGTTGGTGATGTGTAGCGGAAACGAGATGTGATGGTGGTTCTTATTTTGCGTTGGAGATAGGCAGTGTTTCTGCTGGTGAGTACTATCGTCGGATTTGAGGATGAGATGGGTGAGAATAGAGACGACGCAAAGATTGGGCGTCGAGTCAGGTTTAATAAGACGTTCGAGGGGAGCTTCATGGAGCTTTGTCTGGAGGTTATGCGATGCAAGTGGCCCAGCAGCAGTCAGTATCCGTACCTTACCTCAGAGAGCGAGTGGTGACGAAAGGTCCCCATTGGAGCAGGCGGCGGGGGCGGGGTAGCTTCCGGGTGTTGATAGAGCTCCTTGTCCACAGATTCGCTGCCAATCGGTGAGGTTTTGCAATCATGATGCAAGCGCACGAAAAGCTTTGCTGACTGAGCAACCTCAAAACTCACCATTAGCATCACGCAATTCTAGAGAATTCATGCGCTATCTTTCTGCGCCTTTGGGCCTCGGCCAGACTAGCTCTCTAGTCCTCCAGAATTGATGATTTGGAATATTCAGCTACGGCTCCGAGCTGCCTTTCGGAGTATAGACTGGTCCCCTCCCTTTAACACCAAGTACCGAGCTCCGGGACTACCGGCCGGGCCCCTGCTGTCGGGTTCCCCACTGTGTGGCCCCGAACAATCTTGACAAATTCAACCTCGGGGTCGGCTTCATTCAACTACGAGTCACATACAACGGAGCGACTCAACAAGCCGACTTTGACTTTGACACGGCCCTTCGTTTATACTCTCGTCAACGGAACTACGATACTCTCATGATACAGTATTCTGGACCACGATGCCCCGCGCAAACTCGCCAAACGTTATGTGCTGCTCAATGTCCACCTCCTCGCCGAGGTTTGGCTGAGTGAAGACGGCCAACGTATTACGCGCAACGCGTCCGTCGCTCACCGCTGCCCTAACCCCCCTCACGAAGTGCGGTACTGCCTTGAATTTGCCGCCCGTGATACGCTCTAGAGCTTCGCCAGTCTGAAAGGCGATACAATCCCGCGGTATCTTGACTTGTACCGTCTCTCCGCTCCGCGATTCGATGTACAGCCCTGCCGAAGGATCGGGAGACGCTTCCAGCTCCGCTAGAGGTGGTAGGCTTGCTGAAGTGTTGTTCGTGGCTTCAGGCACCGCGGTAGAAGTCTCCTTCTCGTCGATGAACATGGCAGACGTCAGGCCAGTCAGACATCTCCCGAGTGTGTTAGCGACTGGCAATTCCAACGATAAGAGGGGCACTTACCCATGATCTTTGTGTCTCGAGCACCTTGTATCTGTCAGTAAACTTCTCAAGACGGTCTTCAACTGGACGGCTCACCAGTCATCGTCGGCTGCACCAATCTTGGCAGGAGCTTCTTTCTTTTGTGGATAATAATGCAGGAGGCGCGCTTTGGTCGTGTTCGATGTACTAACGACATGTTCAAGATACCCTTTGGAATATCCTGGGATCTCGGACTCGGCAAATCTGTCGCACGCTCGGGCTACTAAGACGGCTGTATCGATGATGATTCGGCAAAGATTCTCCACGCTTGGCTTGAACCCAGGGAGGACGTCCTGTGAAGGCCAAATATTAGGCGAGAGGTACTCGGGAAAGTTGTTCTGGTTGAATTCGGCCGTCGGCTTGGCACAGTCGAGAGTTGCATCAACATAGAATGCGCAGTTCGCATAGTATGAGCCCTTGAATGTGTCAATTTGGCCGTTTTTGAGTGTTTCTTTACCCAGGGACCAGCCCGTCAGGTATTTAGCCTTCTCGTTCTCAAGCTTGACTGCTCATATGTAAGCAGGGGTGGGCAGACGGGCAGCAATTTGTATCGTACCCAGCTCCTCTTCAGGGAGGTTGCCCAAGTAAGATGCATAAGATAAGGTCTGATGCCTCAAATGAGTGAATTCGGGCGGCACGTCCTTAACCACCAGAATTCCCAGAGTATCGGGCCCAAAAGCTTCCTTCAGAGTCTCGAAGGGAATGTTGCCTATGATGTGAATTTCACATGTAAGCTGCTGTCCGTTCCACTCCACGATCCAGCTCTGTGGAACTCACCCTCCTTAAGGTCGTTGAGAGACACAACAACCGGTTGTGCGATCTGAAACATGGTATTTATCTGGGTTGTGGAAGTTTAAAAAGGTAGCAACGAATGAAACGAGAAGGAATCCAGTCAGATCGTAGGCTCATCGACAAGCTTCCGCGATACCACCTGCCGGGTCGGTACCTAAAAGGTGGGGGAGGGGCACAGATAGCTCCTTATGTAATCACAACGTCTAAACGTCCCCTCGAACTCTACTCATCACCATTTCCACATCTCCAAAGCTTGAGCACGCTCCTAGGTCGCGAAAAGCCCACCGGTTATCGCCGAAAACCGCAGCAAAGATAACGCAATTTCTCCTTCCCTATCGAGCCCCGCGAGAGAGGGGGGACACGAAACACGGGGGATACAACGCGAGATGGTCAAGCCCCTGTCCTTCAAGGGCGACAAGAAGCCCAAGAAGAGAAAGCGCGCGGAAGCCGAGGCCCAGAACGGCGACGCACAGGGCGGGGAGGTCGCTCGCACCGGCGGGGCTTCCGCGTCGACGGCGAACGCGGACGATGACGACGATAGCTGGGTGTCTGCCGATGCCGTGACGGATGTTGTCGGACCCGTCATGTTCGTCCTGCCGACGGAACCCCCTACTGCCTTGGCGTGCGATGCCGTGGGCAAGATATTTACGCTTGGAATCGAGAACATCGTCGATGGCAACCCGTCCACGGCTGAGCCGCACGACGTGCGACAGGTGTGGGTTGCGAATAGGATCACAGGGACGGAGCAATTCAGATTCAAGGGCCACCATGGGCAGTAAGTGCTGGCTACAGAATGTTGTTGACGAGGGTCATATGCTAACTTGCCACAGATATCTTGGATGCGACAAGAATGGCGTACTATCAGCGACATCGGCGGCTGTCTCGCCACTAGAATCTTTCAATGTCATTGCAACGGCGGATACTCCTGGCACGTTCCAACTGCAGACACTACGCGACACCTTTCTCTCCGTCAAGCCACCGAAACCCAACGTCACCACGTCAGATGTCAGGGGCGACGAAGAGTCCATCACGTTCAACACCACATGGCGTATCAGGATGCAGGCGAGATTCAAGCCGCGGCTCAAGGCGAACAAGGAAGAAAAGGCAAAGGAAAAGATCAGTCGCAAGGAGCTCGAACAAGCCGTGGGACGCAGGCTCGAGGACGACGAAGTCAGGAAGTTGAAGAGGGCGAGAAGAGAGGGCGACTACCACGAACAATTATTGATGTTGAAGGTCAAAGGGAAGCACGACAAGTACGGCTAAAAGGGAGGATGATTTGGTATGGCACCACGAAAAAGGGGAGAGACGATGATACCCAGACGCAATGAGCAGTATAGCCGTTTAAACATCTCACTATCGTTCTGAAGTTTTTCACACTTTTGCTTTCTTCTGTTTTCTGACCTATGTAGGCCTCCACGCCTTGATGTTACCGTCCTCTCCAGCAGTGAAGACGACTTGTTCGTCATCGTAGAAGCAGAACGACCGAATGATCTCTTCGCCGTGGCCTCCCGGCAGGCCGACGCTGTTCGCCCTGTCGAAACCCCAGCTGCCTTCGGCTGTGCGGGATAGGTGCACCAACTCGAATACTTGACGGCTATTCCACTTGTTAGTCACGTTCCCAGGCATAAGGCGTAAGTTGCAAGTGAAGAAAACATACTCTTGTGAGCCGGCACCGACGATAGCACCACTGCCGTCAACCTTGGTTGTCATGTTGGCAATGTACTGGCAACCCAGCGTCTCTCTCGCATCGCCAAAGTCGACCAGAGCCGCGCCAGAGCCGCAATCCTCGGCGACGCTGTACACGGCCAGCTTCTCGTCGTGAGTCAGCACGTAGACCTCGGTATTGCTGAGGAAGGAGGCGTGGTGGACAGAGCCCTGGTTCAACGTCTGGACGACGACCTCGTCTTCGTCAGAGATTCGTGTGTCGTAGACATTGACGAGGCCGTCGGTGGATCCCGAGAGGAGGATGTGCGATTCTGAAGGGTGGAAGCGGAGTTCTGTGACGTCGTCACTGTGGACTTCGTCGTACTGGAGTCTCTGCTTCGGGCCGGCTCTGATGTCCCTATAGAAGGTGTCAGGGGTCCCGTATAATCGAGTAGGGTGTTGTCGTGACCCAAGGAATACTTACCAGAGTAGCACGGATGCCATGTGGTTTTGAAACTCCGTACCTAGTGCTATCGTGTTGCTTCTAGGGTCACAAGCCATAGAAAGAATGGGTGATTGAGTAGCTGAACGTCGTGTTAGCGGAATTCGTCGGATGTTTCATTCCTTCTCAGAGTGAGAAAACATACCCGCGAAATGAGCGACTTGCGGCTTGGACGCTTCCCTCATATCCCACACCGATACTTCTCCATTTTCTCCCGCCGTGCAGACAACAGAGTTTGACCAGTCAAAGGTCTTGAGGCATGTCAGGTTGCCGTGGTTCGTCTGGTAAGACTTGATGGGGCCCTGGCCAACTCGTGCGGGATCGAAGAGGCTGAGTTTCTGATCTGATGAGATAGCGGACAGGCCAGCGCTGAGTCGCTGAATATCGAGAACATAGACATCGCCAAATCTATGGCCGTCAACGCAAGAGAGGTTGTACATCTTGACAGCACATTGACCTGCTGTGCTTGGCTTATATGAGCATGAACCCTTGACCAAAAACCGAGATTTGCAACTTCTTACTGAGCGTTGAATGTACACAATTTTGAAAGCTCAAAAATATTCTCGCTTCTATGACCTTGGAGAACCTGAAGCTTCTTGCTTGTCTCCTCACTTCTACCAGGCTGAGATACCGAAACTTTGGCAGATCACAAAATTCGTAGAAACGTCAGTAAGAGCCGCCTGTGAGCGAGCTGTGGAGGACTAGACAGTGAAGAAGCGTTTTCATGCAAAGCCCCGTTTTATGCGAGTATATGGTACGTCCGACTAGCGCCCCTTTGCAGCGGTATTGCGTACCTGGCGTCCGGCTAAGTTAGTGACCAATCATGTATCACGTAGTGGACTATCCCTGTTCATTTGGAGCTTCCAATTCCATCTACGTGGACCTAAAGCCAGGACAGCTGTTCTGAAAGCATCGAGCTGCGCAACTGCTGGGAACACCAACCAACACTCTCCCGAAACCGCATATCTGCGAATTATAACATGTCGTGGAACTTTGCGCTCGAATTTGGCACATAATTACCGTTCAAGATGAGGCGTTCTTTGCTCTGGCTAGGCCGTAAGTTGAAAGTCACTGCAATCAAACAGCTGATCCGAAGCTGACATATCCTCAAGTGCTATTGCAGGCAGCCACTGTATTCTGTGTCGACGAGCAAAAGGTCTTGAACGAATACCAAAAGAGTCACGACAGCGACGAAGGGAAGGATGCGACAATACAAACGGATGTTATCTCGGAACACCACACCCCACCTCCGAGGCAGCCCGGTATGTACAATGTTCGCGATGGTGGGGGGAATTATGGTTGATGGAGCTGACTTCCAACAGGAGCGGACTTGGTCGAACTCGCCATCGAACAACTGATCAAGCTTCCACCCCGAACCTACCCGAGACGTGAACGTCGCTACACTGTCGTCTATACTGTGCTCCGATATGCCCTCAAAGTTGTGCCTAGCCTGAAGGCTGCGCCTGTTCCCGGCAGCCACCAGGCACAGGAGACCAAGATCACAGGTCCGCTGTTGGAGGCTGTGAAGCTGTTGGAACAGTCTGCGTTGCAAAATAACACGGACGCGCTCTACCTGCTCGCCGAGATGAACTTCTACGGCAACTACACTTACCCGAGAGACCTCAAGGTCGCCTTCGATCACTACCATACCCTCGCGACGGTCCACGGAAACCGCACGGCGCAGTACATGATTGGCCTTTACTATGCAACTGGCATGGGTCATGTTGTTGCTCCCGATCAGGCGAAGGCCTTACTCTATTACACTTTTGCAGCGATGCAAGGCGACACCCGCGCGGAAATGGCTATTGGTTACCGTCATCACAGCGGTATTGCGACGCCGAAGAACTGCGAAGCTGCGAGCAAGTACTACAAGAGAGTTGCGGACAAGGCAATGGACTGGTATCGCTCGGGTCCACCCGGCGGCATGGCTTGGGTGGTGGAGTCGTATCGTATCGCTGATGAGCTTGGCGGAGTCTACGGTGAGGGTGCCAGCGCCTCGAGTGCTGGTATGAACGCGATCAAAGCGAGCCCCAACTCCGACGCCAATGCCGCCATAGACGACGTGATTGAGTATCTTGATCTCATGTCCCAAAAAGGCGACGCCAAAGCATCCTACAACCTTGGACGGATTTACTACGAGGGGCAGAGAGGTCTCGACCGGGATCTGGACCTTGCTCGCAAGTACTTCTTTACCGTGGCGAAACGGTACTGGCGTAAGGACGGCCGTATCATCGAAAACCACAAGCAGGGTATCGAAAAGACGGCGAGTAAGGCGGCTGGCTTCATTGGCCGCATGTACCTGCGTGGTGATGGTGTCGACCAAAGCTTTGATCAAGCAAAGAGATGGTTCGAGCGTGGAATCTCTCACGGCGATGCTCAATCTCAGCATGGGCTCGGTCTCATGATGCTCTACGGGTACGGGACGCCAAAGAATATTGCCATGGCCACCGACCTCTTTAAGGCAGCGGCGGAACAGGACTACGCTCCATCTCAGATCGAATTGGGCGTGCTCTACCTGGACCAGGGCGGAGCAGAGGATGTCCGCATTGCAAACAACTACTTCGAGCTTGCCGCTAGATACGGCCAAATCGAGGCCCACTACTATCTCGCCGAGATGGTGTACAACGGCGTGGGCCGCGACAAGACGTGTGCGATGGCTTTGGGCTACTACAAAAATGTTGCCGAAAAGGCCGAGCCGCTTGTTTCCTCGTGGGCCGAGGCGAACCAGGCCTACTACTACGGCGACGAAGAGCTCGCTTTCTTGGAATACGTCATGGCAGCAGAGCAAGGATATGAGCGCGCGCAGAACAACGTCGCTTTCATTCTTGACCCTGTCCAGTCCAGACTTCCGCTGCCTGACTGGCTGCCACTTCCCGAGTGGTTTGGTCTCCAGCAACACACCCGACCCAACCTACTCAACAACCCTAGACTCGCCCTCATGTACTGGACGAGGTCATCCAGGCAGTCGAACGTAGATTCCCAGGTCAAGATGGGCGATTACTACTTCCATGGAATTGGTTCCGAGCCGGACGTGAACAAGGCAGTTCAGTGCTATACGGGCGCCTCGGATTACTCGCAGAGTGCTCAGGCCCTCTGGAACCTTGGCTGGATGCACGAAAATGGCATTGGTCTGACCCAAGATTTCCACTTGGCCAAGAGATATTATGACCAAGCACTTGAGGTCAATGAGGAGGCTTATCTTCCCGTCACTCTGAGTTTACTCAAGCTCCGCCTCCGAAGCGCATGGAATACGTTTACTCACGGCCCGATCCACTCGATTCAAGACGATCCTAGTAAGTTGACACGGCTTGTCCTCTACGATACGCCCCAGCTAACCAAAACTTTAGAACCAAAGAAGGACTGGTCACTCAGCGAGTGGATCGCCAACTTCCTGCAGGATGATCAGCTTTTCTATGACGACCCATACTACGAAGACATCTTCGATGACACGATCGGCGGCACAGGCCCAGACGGCGTGCCGCTGGAGGACGACGGCATCGCCGAGAGCCTCATCATCGTCTTCCTCGCTCTGTCCCTGGTGCTTCTTCTCTACTACAGGCAGCAGAGGCAGCAGCAGCATCGAAGAGAGGAGGAGGCGCAGAGACGTCAACAGCAGGGGCAACAGGGTCAACCTGCCGCGGCGCAACAGCAAGACCAGGGCCTTTTCCCTCCACCTGGTAACCCGGATTGGAACAACTGGGTCGCTGGCGGTATTGGACATTGAAACGTTTGTATGAATACGGGTGAAAGAAGTAGTCGTTGGAGATGGGGTGTGAGATGGGGCTGCAAGGGTTAGTTGGGGAGGACGATTAAAGCATATTCAGCGCCGGCGTTTGGGAATGTCCAGGGAAAAGGACATATTTCCTCGAGACTACGTTACAATTCATGAAGTTATTCGCTATGTTTGCTTGTCTCCTGGCTTAGGCATTGATGTATGAGTGAAGAAACGCCAATCTACAAAACCGCTTGTTAATTCCTTACTTCTATACACTCCTCACGCTACAAGCATTATCCAACCTTTTCCTCTGGGCTCAGCCCTATAGAACTATGGTTTCTGTGTTAGGTCATGTGTATCAAAACGCTTTCTTTGAGGGCACGATTTATCACGTAGCATGGC